TCAATATAAATTCTTATGAACAAAATAATTGTTTAATGATACAAACAATCAAAAATAATCAATTTTTTCTAAAATTTGTAATAACACACAAAATCAAACTGTAACAACACCAATACAGTTTAAATAACAAAAAAGGTGTAGTAAACATGACACTTGATTCTAAACAGGAAAATCAATAGTATGTTTTAATTTTAATTGTTTGAATAACATATAAGTGTAAACTCTTGAATAAAAAATGATTAAAACAAAAAATATAAACTCACAAAAAAATTATAAACCACGTTATTGTTTCTACATTATAACTAATACTTGTGTAATACATGTGCCCTAAACAACAAATATAACGATATTTAAATTAAATAATTATTTAAAACCATTGTATTGTAACAAGTTTGTGTTGTGTAAAAATAACAACTTAAAACGTGGTCAATTTAATTAATCTTTAATATATAATAATACTACATTTTTCAAAATAAACCGAATTTGAGTAATTCAAAATATCTTTTATGTGTACTTTATATTTTGATAAATATTTTTTATATACGAGCAAAACAAGTTTTTTGGTGTTTTTAAAAAGACAAAAAATAATTTAATTTTTAGGAATAAATGTGTTCTATTTCCGCTATCCACCGATTTTTTGCCATCCAGTCATACGTCTTAACACTTTTAAATAATTATATTTTCTTTTTATTATTTTTTCATTTAAATATAAAAATATCATTTTATTCATAATTTAATTATAACCATTCCTCATGAAAAAATGCTTTTCAAACAAAAAAGATTGAAAATGTTTTTTATACAGCAAAAAAACGTATTTGGTGATACTATATTTAAAATTTAGCAAATTAACGAGTCTATGGAGTCGCAACCCAAAAAATTGCCGAGTTTGGAGTTTTTTAATTGGTTTTTATCCCAAAAATGTGTTAAAAAATAATGAAAAAGTTTGTCCCGGTTTTATACGTAAAATAATTGCTTTTAAATAATGCTAAAAATAAATTCAAAATGTTAGATTTTGTTTTGTTTTTTTGTATAAATACAACAAAAAACACTACCTAAATAATATTAAAGTTATAATTAATATTAAAAATAAGACAAATGTTATTTTTTAACCATAAAAAGTAAAAAACATTGCCATCAGGGCTGCAAACCGGATTCAACTGGTGGCTAGCCCGTCTTAATTTTTAAATATTTTTAGCCAGAATTTGTGTTTGGAACTATTATTTTTAATTTTTTGAATAATTTAATTAGGAGTTGTCAGCCAGTAGTGATAAAAAAATGGCTAGCCGCAAAATCGTCCAAACTATACACATTCTAAAATGATGGTAAAAAAGAAAACCATTTAAATAATGAGGAATAGAAAGTATAGTTTCTTGTAGTTTTGAAAAGCCATAACAAATCTCCATGTTTTTTAATAGTTTTAAAACATAGTAAATTAAATTAATGGTAATAATTTGTCGTTTGTGTCAAACAAAAAATACTTAAGTAAATTATAGTAATAAATAATTATTTATTCAGAAAAGAAACACACAAAAAACAAAAAGACAAAAAACAATATGTTATACCATTTTATATTTATGTTTTTAAAATTGTTAATTTCTGTACAATTGTAATGTATCACAACCATCTTTATTTTGAATAATTATTATAACATAAATATGAACATTTAATTGTTTGATATGTTGTGTTTTCATCAACAGACATTACTTGTTTGTTTATGAAATAATATATAGGATTTTTGAAGTATTTTAATTAGATATTCTACAAAACGATGTACTAGTGATAAAAGCAAGTAGATTGTTATTTGACATGTACACAAAATACATATTTGAATAATTTACCTGAATCTAACACTTTTAAAATTTAAAATAAAAAAGAAAATGTATATAATATTCAATATGGACAATTTGTTTTAAATAAAAAATGATAATATAATAGTGTAACATTAAAAACACAAATTTCAACGACCATTTAAATGTGTTTGGAAAGGGATTAAACACATAACTAATCAAAAATATTATTCATTTTTGAAATGAAATAAATTGTTTTTGTAAATCAAAACAAATTGTTAAATTTTGTGCAACTCGATCCAAAGTTGTTAACGACCTGAATTGAATTTTGAATATAAAACTATTATCATGTTTTCATTATCAAATGTGCTGTTTAGAACACAACGAAATTAACATAAAAATAAATATATTTATATATTGTATCGTCCAACCTCGTACTGTTAATTTTTATTTTTTTGATTTTCATATATAAAACAACAAACTGTCAATTAAATTAATATGTGCCAAAATTTTAAATCACATTATTTTATATTTTGGTTATAATCACGATAATATTTAAATTGAGAAATATATCAAAACTCTTTTTGTGTTTTATTTGATACACTGATTAATGTTTAATGAATACAATGAAACAGTGATTACTTTAAGGTTTAAACAATTTAAATATATTATGTTCTGGAACAGAATGTAATGA